ATCAGAATAGAAATAAAAAGGTTTGAATGTGTACTGGTTCATCAATGTTTATATCAAGCACCAAGTCCGGCTATAAATCTATACCCATCTTGACCATGTTTGAACAAGTTAGCTGCAGGGGACCAGGCAAGGTCCAGCTCCCGCTGTGACTTGTGAACCATATTAGGAAGAATTTAAGCCACTGCATGATGATGCAGAGGGACATATTAAATTCTTGGAATGATATTATATATGATTTGCTTGACTTTCGCACTGTTGATACACAGAAATGGTAAGGAATAATAAATAATAACGTTACCAATATTTATGTTCTACGACTAGTTATGACACAGTCTGATTATTGTCCAACATTTCAGTATTTTTATTTTAAAAAAAAAACCATTACCACATGCAATTTTCAAGCTTTTGCAAAGATTCTTATTTAACTTAAAGCAGCAATTGAATGATATTTTGCAAACTTATAAGTTGTATGTTATCTCCTATTGTTCGTTTATTAGTGAGCTGTTTATTACAAGATAATATGATGTATATATGATACAAATATAATTTTTTAAAAATATTTATGTCAACAGAAATTTATTAGGTTTTCGTTTATATAATCTATTTTGACTACACATTTAACTCTAGTTGAAGTTTTGTATTAGTTTTCATGATACTTAATAAAATAATCAAATTTCATTGACAGAAAAATTAATCAAACAAAAGTTTGGTAATAGATATTCCTTTTTAATTTTTTTAAACCTTGTTTAACTGTAAAAAAAATAAAAAACAAATTAAGCTTTTGAGTTGACTCGAATATTAATTCTAAAACTAGAATGATTAACCCATTTAGTAGAAATTTGAGATTAACAAGTCAATATTGAATAAATTAGAAAAATTGCTAACATATGGAAAATCTTTAACAAGTTAAGTTGGTATGTTTTTTTTTTCCCATTTGAAGTAGAAAGCTCTAGAAATCACTGGGGTACTGCTTGTAAGCAAGGAAAATTCTGTATCTAGACAACCCTTGCGTTTGGAAAATTTTGTACATTTTTTCCTTTGTCATTTCCCTTGATTTTCAGCTTGCTCATAGATTCTATATTTAATGATGATTTGTTCATACTTTCATGGTAAATGTCAACAACGATTATGATCCTAGCACTGGTGTGACTCCTTCAAATATTGTATATTTATTTCATATATGAATGAATTTTTCAAAAGGATATTTTGTTTGTATATGCTAGCTCCGTCAAGCAAGTACATCTAATTTCACATATTAATCCGTAATTTTTGTCATTTAAAAGAGTCTTTCATTTGTCTATCGATCAACAAATTTTGTTTTCTCGACCCTACAGGTCAAGCACATTATTCTCTTTTATGTTGGAGTAATTAACATTTCTCTTAACGACGAGACTAATTAGAATTGATCGTGACATTCATATGCATGTCTAAATCTATAAATCTTAATTTCTCTCCCTGTGTGTGTATATAATACATATTTTCACATTTATTCCATAAACTTTATCATTTAAAAGAGTCTTCCATTTGTCTATCGATCGAAAACTTTTGTTTTATCAACCATACAAGTCAAGTACGTTGATTATTCTCTTTTATGTTGAAGTAATTAACTTTCTCTTAATATCGAGACTTATTAGAATTGATCATGACATTCATGTGCATGACATTCATCATTTAAAAGAGTTTTTCATTTGTCTATCGATCAAAAAATTTTGTTTTATCAAACCTATTAGTCAAGTACATTAATTATTCTCTTTTATATCGAAGTAATTAACTTTTCTCTTGGTGCACAGACTTAGTACATAAATCATAATTTCTGTGTATATATATACATACACACACATATATATATATATATACTTATATCTGATTCATTATAATAATATTGTCCTAGAAAATGTCAATCAAGTTGTAACCCTTTGATTATTGTTCTATTAAACTTGAGCTTATTAATTAAAATTTTAAAATATAGTAAATAATAATAGTATTAAGAACTTAATACTATTAAAGCAAGATCAATCAGTTGGTAATGGGAACTCGAAGATATGAGTAGAATAATATTGGAATATAAAGTCATAATCTTAATTAAATTCAAGTCATAATACGTTCACTCGTAAGGAAAACGTACGTATAAATATAAACACTTTAAATTCAAGTCAAGGAATGAACTATCTGTTGTGAAACTGGAAACGTATCATATTAATCGTACGTCACTCCATGAAAAAGAATTTTGAAGTCTTTTGAGAATGGAAAGAGACAACTGCAAAATGACCCTTGACTTGGATTAAATTTGGCATTTTTATAAGTAATCAGCACCAAATTGCAATATATCCATGATTGTGCCATTGCCTGCTGGACCGGGGGTTTTTTTTTTCTTTCTATTTTATTAGAATTCTAGAGGTAGAAGAGATTCAATCTATACCCACTTGACGGGTTTTGATCCATTTGTAAGTTATGCATGTTTGTTTTTCAACAGTGATGAATTCGGGATTTTACATGAAAAATAATTAAAGAGTAATCATATAAATTTATAAATTGAATTATTGATTCGAATATAATTAAAAATTAAAATTTAAAGAGTGATTGCCTCTCCTGCCACCACCTTCAGTCCGTTTCTACTTTTCAGAAAATTTAAAAGATTCAAAACTTCATCGTTTCTTTTAAATAAAGATAACAATCGTTAAATCAAATCGAAATATCGATAAAAACCCAAAGAAAGAGGGATTACCTAACTTGAAATTTTGAGTAATTTTGTATAATTTTTAATTAATTCATTATATATGTATATATATATGCGGGTCAAAAACTTCCATGTTTTTATTCTTGTTGGCCACCCTCTTGGATGACTAAAATTTCAATATAGTTCTTCTAGTGGAAACCCATTTGCTTCCTTTGGAATTATACTTTACAGCTAGCTAACCTTTGAAACTTTGGGACTTGGTCGGGAGAATATATATTTGCCGAATTAGTCAATTGATAGTTATAGAGTCAATCTGTCAACTCTTTTTGTGTTTCATGCATGTAAGAATTTTATTTATTTCATTTTTTTTTAATTTTTTGAATCAAAAGTCCTTGATTTGTGAGTCTATCTTTTTGTTTTACATGGAAAAAAAAATGCTCTAGCCCTAAAATATTTATATATAAAAAAAATGAGAGCATAAAATCTTATAAAAATAATTTATTTGAGCAGATGCTATCTGTCCGTTATTTTTGTCTCAGTCATTGATCTTATATTAACGCAATAATAATTTATTAAATAAATTCAAAAAAAATCTATAAGTTGAATAATATTCCAATCAATCTATAAACAAAATAGTTTAGGTTGAAATGTTACAAAAAGGAAAAAAAAATTATCTATTAAACTCAAAGCTTTGATTATATAAGAAAAAAAAAATTTAATCTATTAAACTGAAAACTCTGATGCCATGGTAAAATTTTTTTAAAATTTATCAAATTCAAAACTTTGACATTAATAAACTATTATTATATTAAGTAAAAAAATAATCTATAAAATCGACATATCACATAAAAACAAAAATGAAAAGTTTACGATCCTTATCTTTCACGAGTGTGTTGCTTTTTTAAATTAAAACATGTCTTTATTACAAAATTCAAAGTTGATTCTTTTATAATTAAAGTAATGCTAAGTGTAAACACTCAAGCAAGCAATTTTTACTAAACTATTTCTTGTTGCCCCCTTGGACCCTCAATTAGCTCTTAATGTCTGTTTTAATATTTAATAATGATGTTTAAGGAGTTGTCTATCTAAACAGGATCAAGGCAAAATTCCACCAATTTGAACACACCATGGTCCGACCTCCTTCTTTGACAACATTTTCCCCATTATATTCAAAAGTTATTGATTATTAAAGTATTAATTATGTTTAAAGTAATAGAAAATGGTACTCTATATATATATATATATATATATATATTCTAAAAAATTAATATATTTTTTATTCAACCACAAAATAGATAATCTTTTTATCAACTTCGAGCTACAAAATTTACTACAAATTACATTTTTACTCGTTTTTATTTCGAACAACATAATATATATCATGTAAATTTAATAATTACAACAAATGTTGTCAATATTATAATATGTATATATGTATGCATGTATAGGAGAGTGTTTCGAAATTAAATGATTTTAAGCGACAAAAAATAAATTGTATATTGGGTTATAAAAAATGTTATTTTTATAGTGAGTTACATATCTTGTATACATCCAAATGCATTTATGATTTGTTTGGATGAGATAAAGTCTAGGATTTGAAAGTAAAAATTTAGAAAATTATCATATTTACAAGCTTTTTACAAAGAAGAGATGAGAGCATTTTGGAGTGAATCAAGTGCAACTTCTCTCCTTTTTTTCTCTCAGACCCACAAAAGAACCCCAATATTATTTATTTAAACAAAGGTGCAATGACTTTTAAATTTTATTTAGGTAAATTAAAAAGATTTTTCACTATTAAACTATTGATATGTTTGATTAAGGGAATGTCGATTTTGTTTCTCTCTTACTCTTTAGTACCGTCTTATATTTTGTTTGATTCACATAATAATCATTTCAAGAGAGACCGGAATAGCTATTACGGATTATAAAAGTTATTTCATGGATAAGGAATAGATCGAAAAAATTTTGATTTAGCTTTTTTATATTAAAATGGAAAAAAAATTATTAGGTTAAGTCCAATCCAATCCAAGTCAGTTTAGAAGCCCAATATTACTCTTGTGTTAAAAAAAAAGGGCCCTACTATTCTAGTTTTGGGCCACAGAATGAGACTAAATAACCGGGCCAGAACTTCCAACTTGCATGAACCGGCCCATTTTCTGGATCCAAAACCGGGTTTACATAGGAATTGGGTCAGAGGGAATATAAAGCTGACAGGTAATTGGGTTAAGCCCAAAAGGAGTAGATCAAACCGGCTCAAATAATAATACGAATTTACCATTTTATCCATCATCAAGAATCAGAATTTCTCTTTTAAGACTATCATTTCCCTAACCGGAAGAAGCAGCCCTCATCACCAGAAGTTGAAAGGGGAAAAAACCTGAAAATTTTGCGTTTGGGAAGCGAGAAAGTGCGAGAAAATGAGCGGAGCAGGAAAGAAAGTAGTGGATGTGGCCTTCAAAGCATCAAAGAACATTGATTGGGAAGGGATGGCTAAGCTTTTGGTCACCGATGAGGCTCGCAAAGAGTTCGCCACTCTTCGTCGAGCTTTCGATGAGGTTAACTCCACTTTGCAGACCAAGTTCAGCCAGGTTAGTGTTTCCTCTCTCTCTCTAGATCTTTTTAATTTTTTTTTGTGTTGAACTTTTGATTAGATCTCTAGGGTATTAGTTTTTTATGGTGATTTTATAATTTTTTTTTATTGAAAGAAATATTCCATACTGTTGAATTTTTTGTTCAAGATTTAATTTGGAATTTTCTCCAGTTTTTTTCAATGAAATTTTAGTTCTTTTTATTTTTGTTCAAAAATGGGGATGAGAATATTGTTCAAAAATGAAGGAAAATACCAAAAAAAAAAAATGGAAATCTGATTATTGTAATTTTACATTTTTTGTTGATGAACCTATTAAATTTAGTGGGGCTGAAGAAAGGAATTCATGTAAAATAATTTGTCCCGAAAAAATGAATAAAAGGAATGACATTTTTTAAGGGTGTATTGCTTTATTTATGTTATTAAAAAGAATTGAAATTCAGTTTATATACATATATATATATATATGGGGAAAGTAGAATTTTGGGTTTTAAGTACCTTTTCTTCATTCTCTCTATACAGGTGTTAAAGCTTTTTATTTTTTGTTTCCCATTCGATTTTGCTCAATTTTGTTATTCATGGATTTCTACCATTTTCTGGCAGAGGAGGTAGAAGTCTCTTTTGATTTTAAAATTTCTAACTTCATGATTTAGCTATACATTTGAATTTTAGGATATCTCAAGGTGGCAATATCAAAAGGACTTAATCTCAGATTAACACTTTAAAAGAACAGTACTAGCTTTAGCTGCTTTGTCAGTTTGGTGTTTGGAATTCTTTACGGTATAAACCTTATTTAACATATCACTTTTGAATATGCATAATATGTGATGCTAAAAGGTAAAAAATATGAAAATTAAAGCAAATACTATGGAAGTTTCATTTTGAAGACTTTTATTTGTCATTAGGGGTGATTGTTGAATTCGAGCCCCACCATGGTAATAATGTGATTTTTTTTGTTAAGCAGGAACCTGAACCCATTGACTGGGAATACTATAGAAAAGGAATCGGTTCTCGCTTGGTGGATATGTACAAAGAGGCTTATGACAGTAAGTTCATTTGATGGTTGCCATGGTTTACTTCCAATGCTATGTTTCAGTTTTAGATCAGTTCCAGGTGCTTAAAAGCATAAATTATCTATCTGCCTCACATTTTGTTCCCTCACATGGTTGGAGCTTCCTGAATCTGTGCTTTGCACTAACATTTTGTTTTAAGCTCAGCTTCTTGACACGAGGCGGCAATTTTCTAAGTCAGATGATGATATAGTCACCTTGACTAGCTGCCTCTTTCCTTTTCCATTCTTCAGTGATTAGTAAAGGATGGAAGTTAATGCTATCAACCATTCTTCAACTGCAGATATCTTTGATATTTTGTAGGCCAGTTCCATGACCTGTACTTGATCTAAAAGCTAAGATGGAAATCAATTGCCTATAAGGACATTGTATTAATCAGTTGCTATATTTTTTGCTCATACAAGTCTTAATATTGTATGTATATGTGATTCTCTTGTACCATGCTATTAACATTTGATAGTCTCAGATTCATGCCTTAGATGTTCCACTTCCATAATGCTATTATGGTGATCAGATCCTTGAGAACATCTAAGACTCCAGATACTCCTATACTTTGGATGGTTAATGTAAATGAAGTTCAACGTAGACCTCTAATTTTTATGATCAACGGAAAGCCTCTAATCATTAAACCAGTTTACTATCAAACGTTTGATGGTAAGGTTTTCGCAAAGCACCCACTAGCAATGAGCCATGTGAAATAAGGCTAGTGATATTTCACAGTTTTCTTGACATATTGGTTGATTGCAATGTAGAACCACCCCTTCATCAACATACTATCTTTGTCTTGTTTTTAGTGATTTGTCTAACTGGATTCTCTGCAATTTTTAGCACCTTGGTCTTTGTTTGTCTGCATGTTTTGGGGTTTGGTGGAGCTGGGCGGTTCGCTATTTCCATCTGTTTGTTTTTTCCTTACCTATGAGTTTTCCCCCCATCTTTACACATTCTATGTGCTTCCTTTGCAGGTGTAGAGATCCCCAAGTTTGTCGACACAGTCACTCCTCAATACAAACCAAAATTTGATGCATTGGTGAGAGTCAATATGATACTTGACTCTCTTCTACCTCTGTCTCAAGATGTCTTTTTCATTTTCCTTATTTGATGTGCTATATACTTGTGTTTATAGTTGATTGAATTGAAAGAAGCAGAGGAGAAATCCTTGAAAGAGTCTGAGCGTTTGGAGAAAGAAATCGCTGAGGTTCAGGAGCTTAAGGTAATTGGAAAACAATGCCCAAAATGACTCATTCTTTGATCTGATCGGAATCGTTGATTTTACTATTCTTTTTCTTTATCTGAACAGAAAAAGATCAGCACCATGACAGCAGATGAGTACTTTGAGAAACACCCTGAGCTGAAGAAGAAATTTGATGATGAGATCCGGAACGACTACTGGGGCTATTGACATCTTTGCTGATTTAAGGGGCAAGCTTTCAGTCGCAGCCAGAATTTCTGAGTTGTCTTGTTTCTGTTGTTCTACCCTAATGATACCGAACCCTTTTTTGTGTAATTTGGTTGTTCTGGGTTGGAAAGATTGGGCTCCTATAATAATTGGGTTTTCTGTGTAGAGAAACAGATTTATCCATTCACTTGAGAACGAAACTGAATATTGTAAGACATGCTTCATTAAGTGGCATCCGCATCCATGTTTTCAATGGAAAATTTTTTCATCTGCCTTAGCCTCTTTCCATGAGAAGTCAATTTCAGATGTACAAAACTAATGAAAAGATCTTGATATCTACCATGGAATTAGCATAGAAGCTGGAATTCTTGTATGTAAAAAGTTCATTGCTGACAGTCTGCAGCACTATAGGAAGCCTATTCAGTCAGCCAATATACTATAAAGAGATGATTCTGGCTGCCCTGTATGAATTCCATCAGCATTACATAAGAATTGACACTATTTTCTATTGCCTGATTAAATCAATTGAGAGGAAGAAGATTTACTTCACAAAGAATGTACACAAAATACGAAGAATGGATTCAAGATACAAAATTTAACCCAAGAGCTGATCAACATATCTGCACCACTCCCAGGGCAGACCAAATATAGCTTTCAAAATAAGTCAAGGTTACAAAATGTGTAAACTGCAAGAAAAATGACAAAGTTTTAGCCAAAAAACAAAGTGTTGTCGACAAATGAAATTCGAAGCACTTGCTGCTGTTAGTTTTCGGGAAAAAGCACCAAAATTTCCAGCAGCATTCAGTTGCTTTGACCACTAACAAAAACCCAGAGGTCATTGTGGATTGAGTTTTTACTTTGGAAGGACTTGTATCTACCCAGAATTAGTCAATTTCTTTTGGGAGAGTTGATCTGTAGCCACATCTTCATTTTTGTCCATGGCCTTCCTTGCCAACTCGTAGCCGGCAAAGTTCATGGCACCTAAGGGAGCAATCCAGAAAAACCTGGGTACTGCTCCTTTAAACAGGCCAAGTGGTCCCTCATGACGCAAAATAGAAAAGGCTACCAACGACATTGATATTGGTCGGCCCCCTGGTGCAGTCATCATTCTAGTTTTCATAACATCAAAAGGTGTAGTGACAACAGCAGCTAACCCTCCAGATAAAGCTCCAACTGCAATTGTTTCCCAAGGTTCCAGTTCCCGTCTCAGAAGTTGCTGGGCAAGCTAAAACACCATGCAGAACTCAAATGATAATTCTTATAAAAATGATGATGAAAATAATTATTAAATCTTAAAATTCACCATGCCATTTCCCCCTATAAAGTTAAAGTAAAAAGAAGATAAAATCATTGTTCTTTAGAATAAGCAATTTCAGTTTAAATAAAACAATCAAATGCATTATGAGATGAAAAAAATTAAAAAAGACTATTTTAACAAATCCAAATATGATACGGTGGAGACCAAATCAAGTAACCAAAATTTCTGGGAATTCCAGAAAAAAACAACCTTGCCCAACATCACTGTTTTACTACCATGACACTGTCACTACTACAGCAGTGCATAAAGGGCCGCATACCACAGCCAATCATGAAGCAGTCCAAGATTGACAAACAAAAGTGTATGTATAATCATGATTTCAAGCAAGCATACACATAGGATGCATCTTCAGTAAATTACTCCACTCCTCACTCATTAAATTAAGCAATATACAGGAGATTTTCAAACTCACCACCAAATTCAGAACCTAAAGTAAATAAAACCAAGTTGAATGTCTTTTTGTTTTCTTCATTAAAAAAACGTTAGCTTTATTTTTGATTTAAAAAAAGTATGCATTTTCTCTTTACCAGATAAGAAATAAGAAGAGTAATACCAGCAAGTGATTTTAGTTATAGAGTTGTTCCATTAAGCTGCTCTACTGCTCTAATGTCATTTTCTAGTATAAACTAAAACCTTAAATCTGTAGTTTATTACGCATATACTGTTGTTATACAGGATTTTATAATTATAAGAAACTTAATTCATTAAGACAAGCATGTTTTTTAGCACTGCCTTGGTGATACAACAAGTTCCAGTGCCTTGAGCATGACCACACTAGCAAATTACTTAGACAAATAAAAAATCTCAATGTCAAAACAAATATCATTACCTTTTTGGATTCAGCATAAAGGCCCATGCCAGCAACATAGAATGGCACCTCACGACAAAGAGTAGCCCCAGTCCCACGGAAAAAACCCTTCAGACCATCCTGTTGCCAAGTGCCAACAAGAGCTTCTCCAACATTGTCAAAAAGGCCAGCCTGCAAACGCTGCTTTAGTACCTCACAAGGAATCCGCACTGCTGTTCCCAATAATGTGCTGCAGAATGATGCCATGGATTGAACCTATATAGCACACAAATGCAAATTTTAACACTGTTGCAAATCAATATAAACAGACAATTTAATCAGAATCATTCCTTTCCAGTTAAGAGCAAGACTGCTTCCTTCTGCATGCACACATAGAGAGACATGAAAACACTATTAACAAACAGGAGGATCCAGTACAAATCTGAAAAATGGGTAACCAGTAACTTGAAGTTAGAATCTTTCCTCTTCAAAGGTAGATTAAAGAATCAAATTTTCCAAGAACAGATCCTTCAAAGTTTGCTATTGTTTATGTTCATGCATAAAGAGTGCAGTGAATGTGCACTATGCATGACTGCAGAAGCACCATTTGAGTATTCTAGGGTAGCCTGTTCAACATCCTTTATACAAGGAAGAAGAAGGAGAAGATGTAGAAGAAACTTAAACTTCAGCATGTAAATTTTCCTTTTTCTAATTTTTCACAACTAGTCTAGAAATATCCATGAAGTCAGGATTCCATTACTTAATCTAATAGACTGGACAAATTGAAAAATAGACACACGAATGCCACTTATCAGAAAAGTTATGTGATGTCAGATATTCCTATGAAAAGGACAATCAAGGAAAGCTAGAGCTTTACGTGATAGAGAAGAAATAGAAATTCAATCACAAATTCACAACCAAATAATAGTGCAACAACAAGTACCTGGATGTCTGGAAGATTTGGAGCAACGTTGATCAATACAAGCTTACTTGCTTCAAATATTCCCGTTCGCAGGCCATGGCTACAATGTTGAACGAAAACCAAACAGATGGATAAATGACAAAAGTAAAATCAAAATCAGAAAGGAAAAAAGAATAGTAACAATGAAAACTATACAAAACCTTGAAAATTGTCCAAGAATTGCAGGGACTGAGCCCCTATATAACCCCCGCACTCCAATTTGTGGAAGCTTTGAAATAATTTGCGGGAAGGTCAGGGTTGATGCTTGCACCCGAGTCTGACAAAACACAAAAAAGGGGAAAAGAAAAAAAAAATCATCAAACAGCCCTACTGGCACGTGACAAAGTGTATTCCATAAAAAGAAAAGGCCATGGCACAAGATGGGTAAAAACATGAGCAGTTTCAGCAAGAAAGCCTGCAAGAGTACATGCATCTTTAAGCACAAACACTCCTTTGACTCCCTTTTGTATTAAGTGCTTTAATTTTTTAGTGTTGAGAGGAGAACTAAAAAGAAGCATTTCTTTGTTCTTTTTAAAATGTGAATGAATAGTTGATTTTCCTCCTGGATTACTCAGATCACGGACTAGTGAAGAGTCCAAAGGGAGATTTTAAACTACCAAAAAGGCACCTCTACCAAGTGAAGGAGACAAATATTAGATTAAACAATACAACACAGATCAATAGGGACTAGAAGAAGAGTATAACCAGCTATGCAATCAGCTGAAAATGTTCCATAACATGCACAATTAGCCCAATGCCTCAACAATATTTATCTAAGAAAAAATAAAATTAAAAAACTCAGCTATTTAAAAACAGTATAAAAATACAAAGTACTTGCATTTGCTAATACCATTTGTGGGTTTACCATGAAGAAAAGCAATTACCAAAATTTTGAGCAAAAGCCATCTGCAATAGAACCCAATATTTCCTAAATCTCACAGAGAAACTGTTTTTCACCATATGCCATAAAGAATATTGTTGGTCAATGAAGTCTCACACACAGGAGCTCTCCATAGTCTACTAAAAGTAAAAACTAACATGGCAGAGTGCAGATCTGCCCTCAACAAAAGATACGACTACTAAGGATTCTACTAGATGTTCACAAACAGGCAGATTTTGTTACATAAAAGCAGCATTAAGCTGAAGAATGTGCCTTTATAGTATCAACTGGGTGCATTAAAGATGTGGAGAGTGCACATGAAAGACCCCCCGCCAATGCAGATTTAAGAACACTTCCAGCAGGTATTTCCATGGGTGGTGCAACAGCAACGACAGTTGCAGATTCAAACCAGATATTCCTGTACGTAATACATAAAGAAGTTGCTATCAACAGTTAGCCACCACTTGTTGTGCAAAATGAGCGGTTGTGCAAAACAAAAAATCTATGGTCGCCAAAAGAAAAGGAAGGTCAGGATAAGTGTTATTAGGATTAAGCTGCTGTAACAACCTTCATGGCCTGGCACCAAAATTTTATACTAAATATACACATTGATCAATTAGAAACAATAACATTGTTTGCAAGGTAATCCTAACCATGAAGCACTGAGCAGTACTGCAGCAATAAAACAATTTCACAAACTGAACCTACATCCTGTAATTTGGTAACCAAGATGCAAAACTAAAGCTTGAACTTCTAACAATACAGCCCAAACCAAAAACAATGCAATAGTAAATTAAATTTGAGCTTCTACTTATGCTTGAGTTCCTAATTAGGACTCTGAAATCGAGAACTAATCTTACCGAGGATCATCTTGAAGTAGTCGGTCAGAAGGCAACAGAAGCATAAAATTGCGGAAGTGTCCATATGAAATAGATTCTTCAGTGTCTGCATTCAAAAATCGCATCATAGCAACAGCATTGTCTTCATTTGCTGGAAGTCCAGCATTTTTAAGTGATGCCAATATTTCACTTTTTTGGAGGGTCCCAGACTTGCTTAAACAGAGAGAAGTATAAGCTCGAAGAATGGTTGGCTCCTTCTGTTCCATCAAGGATAAAAACTGCTTCCAACCAAAAGATTTTGAAAATAGATTACTTCTTGTGCGGCGCATGAACTCCCTAGCATATCTCCGTGGTAATTTTCTTTTTCTCATAGCAACTTCAAGATCTTCTAAAGTTACTTGGCCATCACCATCTCTATCCAGTTCTTCAAAGAACCTCCTCCCTGAAAGAGTAATGCAAGGGTAGAAGTCAGAGCATACCTAGAATGAGCACTATACTGCACTACAGTTAATCACATTAGACCATGATATATTACCTAACCTTAACTTAATGCTATGAAAACTCAAAAGATATGAACTCATTTAGCACAAAGTTTGATAAGTCACAAAAAATATTATCAATGACATGTCACAAACACAAAAACAGCTTATGCTATGCTCAAAAGTTACAATCTGAATCTGAAGTTCAATTAGGACTGGGGAGAGGAGATATCAGAAATCAAAATTTCAAAACTACCCAGTTCCTACTCTTTTCCAGCAGGAAGAAAAATGCACTACAAACCTTAAAGAAAATTATAGTTTGAATTATGTTACTCTTATACAGCACAATACAAATCTTTACTGATGCTGCTATTCAAGGAAAAAAACAAAAAAATGATGCAACATTGATTGTTTGCTCAGCTCCTGGGAAGCCATACCTTCAGACTCTGTGTATCTAAAGAAATCCTGGACAGAGAATAATTTCTTCTTGTCAGATGGTCTTGTGAAGAGCGGCCCAAAGGTGGTAGAAGCTCAATCAATTCCGTCAATGAGACAGTGGATAAGGTGGATCTCAAACGCTCCACATTTGATAGAGGAATGCTAAGTATCCCACTTGCAAGTTTCTGTGCGGAATTACCACCTGCCTCTTCCCTACTGCCAGTAGTAACACCATCATCACCCTCTTCATTCACCGAAGAAGCAACTCCAACTATACCTGATGGAACAGCTCCCACTCTAGCAAACTTCAAATTTCCCAGAAACCCATTTACATCGACCTTTCGTCCTTCCCAAAGACTTGTCACTGCTTTTAAATGATCAAACTGAGGGGGAGGAGATGGAGTCGATGGACAATCACAATGCTTCTGATTACTTTCCTGTAGAAGTTGATCAAACTTCTGAAGATTTTGAGTCAACTGATCAAATATAAACCCTATAAGGCATTCAAATGATACATGTTTCCGATCATTATGTTCCAAACCCTCATTCTTTGCAACAAACCGAGCCCTTGACTCTTTACGCTCAAACTCAAATGAAGACTTCAATTTCATGTCATGAGAACACGAATTTACACACACTTCATCTTTGTCACCCATTTTCTGCATTTGTTTCCTCCCTGACTTAAACGAGCTTGGAATAGCCTGGACAAAACTATTACACAACACTGACCAAGTCATTGCAAACTGCAAGCAATTCATACAAGACCCTTCATCTCTATCCACAACCTTCTCTTTCAATCCTTTCCTATCCATCTTAACCTTCTCATTGTTCTGTTCATTTGCTGGTAAAAACATTCCCATAAAAGCCTTGATAGGAACCTTAATAGACAACCCTTTCTTTCTCTCTTCACTAACAACACAGCACTGCCCATTATTAACACCACTACCACTAAAACTACCACTACTCCTCTTCACCCCAAACGTTTGAACCTTAGCATTCCTATCACTACCATTCAATTGGGCAATCAATTCAACATTATTTCGTTTATCATTTGAGACTCCCCAACAACTTTCGAGATCTTTTGCAGCTTTCTTAATACCCAATTCAAGAGGTAAAAAAGCTGCCTTTATAAATTGAATCGAATTCGAAATCGATTCAATGGGATCATTTGTAGACACCATTACTCCTACCACCTCAAAAACTCCTCGCTCTTTAATACAAACTCCCCCAAACTCTCCTTCTCTATCAAGATTCAACAAGAACCATAGTCAACGCATAAAAATCAAAACCCAAATTGAAAAACCAAATCTTCAACCGATTCAAAGGGTGAAAAGAGCTTCTTTTACTACTTAAATCGAATTGAAAATCGATTGCATTACCCCCCTAAAAGACCCAAAAATCCTCACTTTCCTATAACATAAACTCAAAAACTGCACTTTCTAAAGATTCAACAAATTCTTCACACCAACAAAAAGAACCCACCAAGCTAGAACCATAACTTCAAAAGAAAATTAATATTAAAACAATGAAAACACAGAAGGAAAATTAAATCTTTAGCCAATAAAACACAGTAAATGAGCTAAAAGGAGATTTTACTTTGGGGGAGAGGATCTAATGACGAAACTGATGCTGCTTTTTAAAGCAAATTAGCCTTATCTGCTGAGACAAAAATAACCCAATGGGTAGTACTTATTTTGTCTATTTTATGGAAAAAATTCAATATTTACCCCGCAACAAATGGAAAATATTAGAGCTTGAAAATGGGTTCTTCTGAGTTCTTTTCCCCAGTGACAAAAAATAAAGGAAGTGATTTAAAGGGGTGTCTTTGAAAAGGTAAGTGGAATTTGAGGGACTGAATTGGGATTTACCAAAACGAAATGCTAAATTTAGCTTCTTCTTTTTTTGGGACAGCTTTTAGAAGAGAGCGAGAGATATGGTGGTGGTGACAAGGGAAGAAGAAGCAGAAGCAGAAGAGAAGAATAGGCTTGGGCTTTTTCTAGTTTCTTTTCTATTTTTTTTATTTTATCAATTTATGAAAAAAATAATTAAATTAATTTTTTGGATAAAGAAGAACGGGGTGGATAAAAGGCTGACGTAAGGCTGAGTTTGAAGTATTTGCCTCTCCAATTTTCAAAATTAAATAAATTAATTTAAAATTTTTTAAATTAAAACAAGATATCCAATGTTTATCTATTTTAGATTTTGGTAATTACCAATAAGAGCTTCAATTAAATTTTGGGATTATATTTTGCTCCTTTTTTTGTTAATTTTGGATTTCTATATTTTTAGTTAAAGTAAATAATATTTATATTATGAATTTTTTCAGTCACAAAAAATATTGCTATAATTCAAATAATTGACTGTTTTAATTTAAAATTGATAATACTATTTACATTTTCTCTATAAAATATCTAAAAATATAAAAAACAAATAATAATTTTAAACATCTTATTTATAAATATGCAATGGTGATAAATTAAAGTTTTTTTGCAAATTCTAATATATTTTACATGTATATAAATATTTTTAATAATAAAAAAAATTGGGGAAGTACAAAACGAAATTGGTGGATCCATGAAATTGTGTTAGTGGCTATAAATAGGACGGACAAATTACAATTTGACATCTAGCTTGTTTTGCATCTGCTTATGACACGTGTCAATTTAGGCACCGTGACCTCTGTTGTTAATGGGACCCATTGGAGCTCTTTCTTATTCTCTGAAAAAGAAGAAAAAAATTAAATTGCAATTCCAATTACTTATAAATTAAAAGATTGATTTAATTGATAAGATTTTTCATCTTAACATAAATTAATTAAATTTTAAATCGAAGAAATAAATAATAATATATCTTAATGATATTTAATGAGGACAATAATTATTAATGTTCATGTCTTAACCCAGATCGAAAATTTTTATCTTTTTAGTATTAAAAGGACTTTTTTTATTTTTTGAAAAAGAAATTTTAGTTAATTATCATATAAATATGACACTATCTAACCTACCTTAGGAAAAAGACTTCAATTGATGAAGAATTTTCCCTAAAGAAACAAAGGAGTGAATAATTCTCCTACCTTATAGAGAAGGGCTAAATTATGGTCCTAATGAAATTAAGGATTCCATCAACATTAGTTTAGTTGTGATAATCATAATTTAAACCCTAAAGATGACAAAATGAAGAATAAGTAGATGGGTTGCTTTAATGAAAGTTGCTGCTTTGTTATTCATTTGCTACATGGCTTCTTGGGATTGGGAGAGATCACAAATTGTTCATAAAAAAAAGTCAATTATTAATTAATTATGCTTACATTAATACATGGATAGTTATCCAATCTACCTTCACAAGCATCCTTTGTAGAGGGGTCAACTGCTTCAGAAGCAACACCTGTTGTTTTCACAGAAACATCTTTCTTACAAGAAAAAGAAATAAGAGTTCAATAATCAATCATGCCATTTGAATGTAAGGATGCTACCAGACATTCAAGCATTTCAATGAAAATAGAACTAGCTAGAATGAAACTAGAGATACAGATGACAATTGGCATCTGTGTCTCATAAGATGAAGAAAAGAATAATGTTGACTTTAAGCTCAACAACCTTCTTCATCTTTTATATTAGCTTTCTTTTGCCTACTTACATCTTGACAGGGTTCATTTTCATTGGCCAAAGTCTCGAAACATTAAATAACTCGAATCGCGTTCAACCAAAACTCGTAAATATCTTTAACACTTATTGTGGATGAACCCGGAATTTCTTGACAAACAATCCCCTTTGAACTCATCTAGGTCTCAGCAGTGACTGCCTAGCTGTTAGGAGTCTTGCTTTTAAGATACAAAAACATTAAGAACAACAGCTACAACTTCCATGCTTTTGGGGCAAAAGCAGCTGCAATTCATTTGGCAAGTATAAGCCTCTTTATAAAAGAAGATACTTTTGCAGGGGCGATGAAAGGGATTTACTTCTTGCAGATTGTCAAAAGCATGGCAGAATCAAAATTTATGATTTAAAATGCAGATCCACTTCCCTTTGTCTTCCCAAGCATCACATCTTTAGCTTCATTGATTTTTGAAGCAAGGTAATCGCTACCACCTGCATCAGGATGGTTTGCAACCATTACTTTCTTATGTGCTTCCTTGACCTTGTCTGGTGTTGCATTCTCCCTGTTAAGTCATATGGTATAAATAAATAAACTTCATACGTGATGTTGAACAGAAAGAAATGCATATTAAGTATAATAGTGTACGAAATAAACAAGCTGATGCATAGATTTGAACCCAGCCTCATAGGTCAGATAATCAACTAGCAGAATCATTAGAAAAATTAAAAGAAAAATCCATAGAACCTAAGGATTTTACATATTAATGTTTATCTTTTATTTTCTGCCATTATAGTCCTGTATGATTAGCATGTATGCTCGCAACAAAGCTGGCAGCATAAACACTGACTGATGATAAATTGATTCAACAGAAAACCATTGGAATCTGTTCATTGAAGCAACAATAGCTAACCTTAGGCTAAGCCTTTGATGCTTTATATTTCTTGAGCTTGACTAATTTATACCAGATATGTTCAAGCATGGCTGCAACATCTATCAAAGTGCCACACTTTTCACTTTAGTTTGCTTATGGGATATTAATTTACTAATTCTTGGAAGTTAAATTTCAAACTTTTTTCTCTCATTTTCAGCACTGAAAAAGTTGAAATGATTGAAAGCTTGAAACAATTCCTTTACTTCTTTGTAGAGAATAAATAAATGAATAAACCCTTTAATCCCTCTAATTCACAGTGCATAAATTCGCAATTGCCTCTTGGCCTGGCCAAGGTGGTAAAAAAGGTAGGGTAGGTTCAGATGTCAGGATATTGTTTTATGATCAAACCACTAATGCAGGAAGCATTCAAACAAGAAAAGATGTATGCTTTAGTCATTAAACATAAGTGGTAGAGCTGAAAATGCTAGTATTTAGTAGTCATGCGAGAGCATGAAGGATCTTTAAGGTAAAAAAAAAAAAATTCTATCACTCAAAATTGAGGTCATCCTTAAAATCTGGGAACTATTTCACATTAAAGGTAGTCATCATCTTTCTACAAGCTAGATATTCTTGGGACAAATTTCATAAATGTACTGGTCATGTATGCTCAAGAATCTGAAATCCCGATACAGCTCTCAGATAGATTACATTAATACATCATAATATAATTCCTTACTTTATGATCCATGTTGAACATGCTTACCTAACACCAAGAATCAATGCTGCTTCTCTTCTAGTCATTGTAGGTTGGAAACCACCTTCATAAAATTTGCGTATTCTAGGTTTTGGCGGCCTTGCCTTAAATGCTTGCCAAGCATGGATTCCATATCTACCAGCAAGAGCAGCAGCAGCAACTGCAAGCCCAGCGAAAAATGGTGTAGCCTGATGTACATCTAGAAATTCATTAATTAAACATTATTGTAACAAAAGACTAAATCTCCAATTGGTATAAACAAGAAAAGCGATGCACAACTAGTCCTCAGTTGCAGCAAAAACAGTTCTTTTAAACAACAAACTGCATAATTAAAAGGCACATTTATTGTCATTTCACTGAAAACTGTATAGTTTACATATCGCAAAAAAACACCTACTTTCAAGAGTCCCACGAATGTAGTGATGCATGGATTCTGGAGACTGGTCCAGTGACAAGGGAACTCTAACTAGTGAGAGAATATAATCAAACTATCAAAGAAGAATAATATAACCTTAGACTCTATGTTTCACTACCCAAACCTCTCCACACCAAGCATCTTGTTCTACCACTTTTGAGTGCCAACAAGCTCATAACTTATTCCTCTGATCTCTGAAACCCAACACAAAGCACAACAGAACTGACTAAAAGCCATAAAAGACACACATAAACAAGAAACCTAAGTCACATAGCATGATCCCAAAAATGAAAACAAATACTTCCCAAGTACTTTACAAACATAAGCAAAGGCCAAAGAACCCTTGGCTTTTTTTCTGCCATGAGCATTGCTTCAACTGCCAAATGCCAACATCATTAGAAGCTTCTCGAGAGGCATATTACTCACTATGCTATACACAAGACCTATGCAATTATTCTAGGACCTATCCCAATTCATCGGCATTGAATCCATGAGAAAAGTTTTATATTATGATCAAGATATGATTTTTCCAAGACTTAGCTCCACAAAAGCATGAATTGAGTTAACTGGGGTGGATCCCCTAATGCTTGGAACTTAAAAAGACAAGTCAAAATTACAATCTTTACAACTTTCCAACTCCACCCAATACAAAGGAGTTGAGCAAAATAACAAAAATCTCTCCCTTTAACCTAAAAGCATCTAATCCCTCAACAGGAAATTACATTAATAACATTTCCTTTGAAAATCTTTATCCTTTTATTCATGTTGTGAAGCTAAATGGCATCCATTGTATAAAATAATTCCTAAAAAATCAACGAAAATTAAGAATTTTCATACTCCAACTCTAGCATTTAAATTAGAACTGTAAAATATGGACTAAGAAAATTCAAACAAAAACATAAAAAAAAACAAAAAGTTTAATTATTCTCCAAACGAATACATAAATCACAGAAAAATGGGAATTAATATACGAAAAATGAAATAAATTTGAGAAAAGGAAATGACCATTGTTATGGGATTTCGAATTCAGTCTCTACAACGAAGACTCAAAATTTCATTAAAGAAAAAAATTTTAAAAAAAATTCTGTTTTTTCTTTTTTTTTTTAGTTTAAGCTGCTTTGGGTTTCGGCTGCCAGCTTCTGTAAGTGAAATCAAGAGAGAGCCTGTCAGATCGGGGTTTGTTTCGATACATGTGTTTAGTTCCACCAAAATGCAGCTACCAATAACTTTACGCCGCGTCAGCGTTTGCTATAAAACAATTTTCTCTTTTTATTTTTATAGTAATCCGATTTTCTTAATTTATAAGTACGGTGGTGAAAATCTCTTTTTAGAAAAAATAAAATAAAGATTTTATTAATTATAAGTGAATTTAAATGCTTCTTAATTGAGAAAACATTAGTATAGTATATTTTTTATCAAATTAAAATTTTAAAATCTTTTAATTCAACGAATTTATTTCACTATTGCTATCTCGATATTTTAATTCATATTTGAATTTAAAAACATTCATTAAATATAAATTTATTCAAAATTTTCATTTTTAATTGCTTATAAAAAAATACAGAAAGAAATTTCTTCTCTCTCATATATATATATATATATATATAATGTTTTAATTTGACTTTGTTTAGTAAAAAAACTTTCGAATTTAAGCTTTTTATTTTAAACATTTTATCAAATTAAATTTTAATAAATATACATATTTAGAAACTACTTGTATTTGGAATTTTTAAATATATTTTTTAAAAAAATTATGGTAAAATTAAATGAAAAATGTTTACAATTATATTATGATTAACATAATATCACAACCCTTAAGCAACCTAAAGAAAACATAACTTACAATTCAGAATGCATCAACTGATAAACGAAAACTGTCTATAAATTCCATTCAACAAACAAGTGTGGATGAGATCCTCATAACAAATTTCAAGAACTGAAACTAAAAATTGAAGAAAGAAGAAGAAAAAAGAAAAGAATATATTAGACTTATTGAATCTTTGTCCATGATACAACCCAAACAAACACATCATAAACTAATCTTCAACCCCAAAACCAATCCTAAATAACAACTCAAAGAAGAGAGGTAGTTGAGCAAAAGAGGAACAAGACCACAAAGACACTAGCATATATATGGATATATAAGTGGAAACCCTCCCACCTCCCCATTTTATTCACTTTTCTTGTTGTAGAAGCTATCATCAGGAAGCAGTTGCTAAGGAAGACCAAGAGGACATATTTTTATTCAATTTCTTCTTTGTTTTCTGGATTTGTATTTAAACTCGAAGTTCTTTTGTTTCCACCATATTACCTGCCTCCTCCTTTGCTCGGTTTCTCTTCTTTGTGCATTTTAATGTCCTTAACCGGGGTGATATCCACCTTGGGAGGACCAGAGTGTCTCCTATTCCCAGCTGGGGATGGAGAGAATGAGAGCCGCTTCTTTGCAGAGCCTGCCGATCCCCTATCCGGTGTCCCATTTTTCTCTAATCCCAATGGGCTTGGCAACCGGGACCTGGCCTTTGTTGACTGTGTTGGTGCCATGTAACTTGGAACTGCAGGTGAGCTTGCAAGGCTCTCATCATCTCTCACTGATGAGCCGGCAATACTGTGTCTCCTGTAGCGCTCAGACTGGATGCTGAGCATGCTCCTTGAGTCCTCATCACCTCCCCATTGGCTCCCTCTTGGGCTTGGCAGTTTTATTTTACTAGAAACTGATGAAATAGAAGGTGCTTTGGAGGGTGGAGTTGAAGGGGATTGGCGGCTCGGAGCTCGACTTGATTTTGGGGGGGTTGGAGATGGCTTATTATCATTGTTAAGATCTCTTCGAGAATAAGCTCTGCTGATTTCACCTATAGACATTGAACGGGCACCCATACTTTTAACTGAGCCACGGTCATGGTTATCTGTTGTGCTTCGATTCTCCCATGGCCTGGCTGCCATCCATCTCTCTAACCAACTCCAACCCCAGTGGGGGTTATTTGGATCCATAAATGTTGGATTCACTGACTTTGAAGAGTTCTTCCACGATTGCTTTTGAAAAAAAGGTCATTTAAGTTAGTAATGAATTAGATTCATGATTCTATATGAGGGTTGTAGCACTAAAAACCATTGAAATCCAATACACTGTTAGGACAAAAGTATAACATATTCTAGATGTTTGCAAACTAAAAGCCAAACAAAAGGGCAAACCCAATACCTGGTGAGAGAATGCATAAGCCAATGCTCTTTCCCTTCTCATGGCCGCTTCTTGCTTATTCTGTTGTCTTGCATCAATTTGCTCCTTGGACTGTGTACTATCGTTCCAGTCTTCTCCCATCTGTAAAATAAGTGTTTAAACAAACAATCATATACCCACCATACTATTAGATAATCTCCATAATTTTCAGAAGCATTAATCTTTCACTAAACCAAGAGTTTTGAAGGAAGCCACTGGTAACACACCAAAACCAATTGTCAGAGAAAATGGAAGGTAAGGAGGGCTTAACCCTCTAGAAATTCACTCTTTGTGAGCAAAATTCTTGAGGACAGATTGTCTTACAAGTTGGGAGAAATACAGGAAAAGTGAGAAAGTCTCGAGAGGATTTGTACTATGAAACCACTACTGATGTACACATGCACCATAAGGTCACTTACAGAAGCTCTCAACTTCTCGAGCTCTTTCTCACATTTCTGTTCCAGCTGCCGCTGCAGAGCATGGTTCTCTTCTGACATTCTAATCCTCCTCGCACGAATCTGAGACTGCACACGAGCAAGAGTCTGCATGCATCTTAATGTACTAGTTGCTTGCCGTTTGACAGATTGCCCTTGGATCAATGATTTCAGCCTCACCAACCCTCTCAAAGCTCTCAATGCTCGTCTAGCCTGAGAACTCAAATGCAAATAACTCATTACATAAGTACAACTAATTGCTCATGGAAGGGATGCTTCAGAGAATTTATGACACCATAAATCATCATGCTTTTATTTTCCTTAATTGACCAGAACACCTTTCAAGGTTGACATAATAACAAGAAATAACCAACAGCAGAAAGTTTGGAACCCTCCTTAAAAGAGAGAATAAATTCAAGACAGGGCCCATATAACTAAATGCAATATGTTGCATTTTACTTAAAAAGTCTTAACAAGCATTTGAAAATCAATGGATTCTTAAGGGCTCATAATTTCATAAGAATGAAAATGGCCCGGCTCCAAGCAACAAAACAACAATGACAAGACAAATTTAGTAAGTGCATATGTCACAGTTCCGTAGGGGAGCCATGAATCCTGAAGGTGAGATCTGCCAGATGTCTTTTGTAAAATACAACTGTGAGGCCCAATGGGCCACAGCCGACAATTGGTGTGGGCCGTGACACACTTATCATCTCTTACCAGTTACAACGCCTCCGTCTCGTCATAACAACAGGAAGTATGTTACTGAAACAACCAATAGCGCTCAAGCTGGAATACATGAATCTCCTAACACAGAAAATTTTCTGATACTCCCATAACTTTTCCACCTCACGTATAAGAGAAGCGATAAGAACTTAGAAACATTGAATATGAATAAAAAGGAAGAATCCATACCAAGTATCCTCTAAATGCAGTTTGAATCTTGATGGCAGCTATTTCCTCCTTTGACTTTCCCGGGTAGCGTGGTACAGAAGTGAGGCGGACAACTTCAGCAGCCGCCTGAGCAGCTGCAACCGCCGCCTCTGCAGCCATGGCCGTGGCAAGAGCCACGGAGTAGGCATGTTTGCTCTGTTCATTTTCAGCTTCTGCTAATTTGACATCTTCAGTGGGAGGAGGAAGAGGAGGAGCAGTCACTTCAGTTTCTTCAGGCAAAGGAACTGGCCCCAAGTCCTTGCTTTTCCCAAACCATTTCTTCTTTGATTTTGGAGTTCTCTGGTGAAACAAAACATAGCACCATTTAGTTGCAAACCTCTCTAGAAAAATCAACCACTGAATTATGAACTAACTCATCCAGACCTGATCTTTCTTGGACTCAGGGCTCAAAACTTTCTTCACAGCAGAGAACCAGCCTCCTTTTTTTCCCATCTGTCAATAATTCTTCTTCAAAAAACCAAGACAAGCCATGGAGTTTCAACCAATGAGACCAAGAGATTGACAAAGAAAACACTCTTAAATTCATTGAAATGCAAATAGAGCATAAAGCAAATTTAACAAGGAAGTGAGGAATTAAAAACAAAAAAGGAACGAAAAGGATTGAAATTTAAACCAATTAATGATTCAATCTAGAAATGAAGAAGCACCCAGATACCAAAAATGAAAGATCTTCATGAAAAAGCATAGAAACCCAGATCAAAGTTTCCAAATTTAAACACTTTTTGTAAGACAAAACTCAATAAATGTGACCAACAAGGACAACAAAAACAAAGACAAAAATGTTCTGAAAATTTCCAATACCTGTGCATGGGAAAATTCCCAGATCTCTGTTAAAAGATTTGAACTTTCTCTTTTATTTTAACTCTCTCTCTCTCTCTTTCTTTCTTTCCTATACAAAATCAAAATGAGAAGAAGAGAAAAGAAAAATCCAAAGCGATTCAACACGCGTCTCTTGTGACCACACAGAGAGAGAAGTGGAAGCAGATCTTGCTAATACAAAGGCTTTCAAAGACAGAACAAAAAATGGGAAGAAAATTTAAGCCCAAAAAACAGGTTGGCACTTAGAGAGGATATTTAATGTGGGACCAAGAAACCAATGGGACCCAAAGTGGATCATGATAGCATCCGAAACACTTTTAAGAAACAAAACAAAACCAACAACAAGACATAACTGCAACAACAACTACAACTAACAAAGTACATTAAAGCTGTATTTTTTTTTTATTACTTTGATTTTCTTTTCTTTTCTTTTTTCATTTTTACTTTGGTCAAAAAAAGGGTTTTTTCAGTTTGTTATTAACAGTTGCTTCAAAAATAAATCTATTTTAAAATAATAATAAAGATTTGATATTTATGGGATAATGGAAGCAAGTGGAAGAAGGCACAAAAGTATTGGGAAGTACACAAAAAGTGAAAATATGAATTGTTTTTTTTTTTTGTTTTTTAATAAGCAATGACTTTAAACATAAGCAATCTTTGAATCCATCAACACACACTTTGTGGTCAAAACAAAACTAATTTTATCTTTGAAACTTTAGATTGATTGCATGTGTAACTACCATCAATTGACTCTTCATTATAACACAATCACCACTCTCCCCCTCCCTTTTTTTCCCTTTTTCTTTTCTTTTTCTGGTTTGGTTTCCAAGCAAGAAACAAATGATTATAACTTTTTAAATTTTCTTTTTCTTTTTGTCTTTTTCATATAAAAAAGTTAACTAATGTATTAAATAATTCAAATTTAAAATAAAAAATATAAAAATAATATAACTTTATTAAATTTTAAAACAAATACCTAATCTAAAATCAATTAATAATAACAAATCATTAATGTATTTATACTTCTAAATTCATATAAAAAAATTGGAATATTATAAACATGTAAATATAATTAAAACTTATTTTATTTATAATTAATTAATTTTAAATTAAATTACTCATTTATCCTTTTAAGAATATCGAAAAAGATACAGAGAAGATTTAACATATTCTTCCTGCAAGGATGACACACACAAATCAAAAAATTATCCAAATTTTTTTCCATTACAAAAAAATTTTACCCATTCTAAAAATTTAACACTTTTACCCTAAAATCTTATGTAAAACCTTTAAATTGAATTATTAAATGGAAGTAGCACTGAAAGCCATAGCTTTTGGTGAGCTTGGGTACATGAGATGATTCTCTATATTTCTTTTAAGCCGTACAAGGTAACAGCCAAGTGGAGCAAATAATTACCCCAAAAAAACTGACAAAAGTATTTAAAAAAGAATTAAATAAATGTCTTTTTCAGATTTTTAATTCACAAGACAGCTATTTATAACAGATCACACTGCAGTTTACTCACCCCGTTTTGCACGGTGAGTACCCACAGACAAATTGAATGAGGGGGTAACGGGAGGCTACCCACCACTCGCAGGCAGCGCGTGCTGACAACGAGTGAAAAAGTTTGTGAGGTGCGTTTTGGTTACGCTCCCTCGAGGTGAAGGTGGAAAGGAAGAGCGAGGTGAGCAAAAATCGATGTTAATTATTTTAATCGGACAAATATTTATGAGATGTGCGTGCTTCCGGTGATAACATTAACAACATCACGTGTTGGAATATTTTCAACTGTTTTTATATTTCATTATAATATATATTTTTTAAATTTTTTATTTCTGCATTTTCAATTTTTTTAGGAAGAAATTCAGTGATTTCGACAAAATATATTAACAAAATAAAAATAACCCTCGTTCACCCTCTAATTAAAAAAAAAAATCCTTATTCACGTGTTTACGCACATTCCAAATGAATAAAAATCTTCCGTTCCAAATGATGTCCAATTTAATGAATGTTTTATAATTTTGTATTACATTAATATAAAAAATTTAAAATTAAGATTTTTTATTAAAATAATATAAAATTAAACACATAATACAAAATTATAAAAACAAACACAAAACCATCTATACCTTGCATGTTCCTTTTTTTTTTTTCTTATTTTGTGAATTTTTAGATAGACAAAAAAAAGGGTTTTGCATTTTTAGTACTGGTAGCTACATGGGATTTAATGCTTCAAAGTTTGAACACCTCTGGCATACGTTTTAGCCTAAATAAATAGGTTGCTCAGTCATCACATACATAAGCAACTTAAATAATTAACAAGGTACAATAATACTCTTGGCATTATAAAAACACAAAGAGGTAATCAAAAAAATAAAATAAAATCATGATCCTCTTTATAAACAAGATCACACTTATCTGTCTGTAAGTCAAAAGGATCCCCCTCACATGCAGGAAAAGAAGAAAAACCCTTCAATCATAACTCAAGAAACACCAGATTTTTTCTGTTCAAAAAGGGGTGTCAGTCTGCGATTGCCACTCATTGATGAGGATGCACAAAATTAGAATAGGGTCAAGGAGAAGATTTGACCTTCACGAGTAGCCAAGCTGGCCCGACCTAGCAGGATATCAAGGTACCCCACCCTGCTGGATGTGCTGAATCACTCATGTCATGCAAAATTTGATGCTTGCAGTGAGTGCACCTCCACAACCTGGCAACTCTTAGCCTGAGGTACACAAGGGTGTGATCGACTTAAAATAACAATATATCTTGGAAACTTTCTACTTTCAAGGTCTGGCAAAAGCTATTATTAGTTGCAAGGGAACCAGGAAGATGTTGCGTAAAAGGAATGTGAAAGCCACTGTTTCCATAATGAATTAGGATTGACGAGTGCAGATATTTGACTCCAAATCTATTACAGTAATTTGTGTTAACTTTCATTTCTGCAGATTACACATAGTGAACGAACCCAGTATGTGATTCTGGTAACAAAGGTACCACACCTTGAAGATTTTTTTAAGCATACGAGTGATGTCTATGACGATCCTTCTCCCTTGAAGAATAAGATGAGCCACGATAATCACGATCTGAAAAAAGAAGAGGTTTAAGATGATGAAAACCACAATTCTTTAGTGAACGTATTACATTGATTGAAACTTTGAGGAAAGCTAAATCCATACCACGTGATGAGTGGTGCCTTGATTTTTCTGAATGTCCCCCCGCATTCAAAATATAAAATCATAGTAGTTAGACAAATCATATACGAGACACTAATCAAAACCAGATATATAATCCAACCCTAGGAGAATATATGACATTACCTGAATCCTTTGTTCTATCCTTTGAGCGATGACCTCGATCCTTGACCTTATCTCTGTCCCTTTCAGTCTCATCTCGCTCTCGTTCCCTATCAGAATCTCTGCCCCTGTCACGATCCCGGGCCTTTGCCCTCTCCCTATCCCTTTCTCTGTCCCTCTCCCTTTCCTTTTCCCTTTCCCTGTCCCTCTCCTTGCTCTTTTCCCCACCCGATTGTGTCCTCTGCTCAGACTTGGATTTATGCCTAGGCTCTTCTCTTGCATCACCCTCAGTAGGCATGCTCTTGGATTCATCATCACTCTGCTTAGATTCTTTCAGCTTGTCAAGAGCCATCTTAACCTTAACTTCTTTGGATCCACCAGTTTCCAGATCTGCTGCTGCTACAGTGGTGTTGGAAGCATTGGCATTATTATTAGCTGGTGGGCTAAGTGGAACTTCCTGCTACACAGCGAGAAAATTTTACTTCCTCCTCAATTCGGCTACCATAAAGAGCTCATTTATCTCAACATTAGCCACGACATATAATAAACAAATTCCTGGAATTCCTTACTGCTATCCTTTCTCTTACAGGTGCAGTATTACATAACCATAAAACTAGTGTTCACACAAATCACTAAGGAAGACATTAGCAGCACTAGCTGTGCGTATAATTATGCAACATACTGCAATTGGAAATAGGATAACAATTAAAAACACTACAGAAAGAATATTTTAGCAACCACAACTTATCAGTGAAAGTTGAAAAAAGTGGGAGAATGAAAGTCAGATTCACCTTCGAAATTAGATGAGATTGTGAATCTGCAGACTTGGTGGAAAATGTAAATGGTTTTCCATCCTTACAGACAGGGCTGTATCGTGCCTTGGGAAGGCTGTACAAATGAGCCAGAACCCTACAAACCTCATCAATCCCAGATTTCTCAGCATCAAATGCCTTCCACCATGGTGGGTTCTCAGGAAGGGGTACTTGGAACCTACGAGCTGCAGCATATACAACACCACAAGCCACAACCTCACTCTTGAATCGAACACACAATGTTGTACGTAAACTAATCCAAAGAGAGTTGATGGACATAAAACACAGAGAAGGTTGTAAGTTCCACCAAAAGATAGAGTAATGATATGCTAGTGGCAAAATCAATAGGGAATTGTAACAGCACAAACTAAAAAAAGAAAAGCACTAGAACTTCCATCTAAATGCAAGTCATCCTATATGCATGTTAGCAATGGATTTTCTAAGGCAGTTCATGGCTAAAGTCATCCAATTATGAAACTAGTACTATCCATGCACACATAAAACATTTATGGCAAAATATGCAAACAATTATAAGCATTAGAGCTCAAGAAAAAAAAAAGCATCAGAAAGATTATCTGCAACCAAAACTTTAAAGCAATTATAGTTTTAGCTACACCATCTATATCCATTTCTTTGTAAATAGTTGTCATCTGGCGTAAACCACCACAAGCCTGAACAGATGCTTTAAGACACATAGACATAGCCATGTAATTTCAACTGACAAGTTAGAAATCAATTCGCACTCTTGTGTAATATATGTTCTTGTGTTGCACTACGTTTTCATTTAAATATTCTCATTCCCACCACTGTTATTCATGCTATCTTCCTTCAACTCAACCTCTCACCGATATAACTCCATGCATGTGTTAAGGGTACAAGCATGGCTAAAGACCCTCATAGTTTCTTCCCAAGAAGGAAAACCAAAATAAAGCTCTTATCATCAAAAGTACTAACCTTACAGCGCTGGTCTATGCCAAAGAATATTTTGCAGCCAAAATAACAAATAAAACTAGAAAACAATTATCTTTGTCAGTATTGAACCACTTCAAATTTCAAAATTAACTAAATGAAAACCTTATACTCTATGTTAGATTTGTCATCCAACCTCCATTTGTTTTATGTTTCTGAAATGCTGAACCTCTTCTATACAGGTAATGCACAATCCAGTAGATATCTGAATTCCCTTCAGGTAATGTCATTTGTCTTATTTCTAATTACATATCAAGATTTAGAAACAGCTCACTGTTAAATTGGTCATCAAGGCTTAATTTGTTGTTGCATGAAATAGTTAGATTCATTGGAAGGATTGTTATCCACCATAAGACAACATATAAACATAATTCTAAGAACAAATTACAGAATCTACCTCCACTGAGTTACCAATTGGGAAATCAACTTGCCATCTAATCTTAATCATAAACTAGTCATTATAGCAGAGACATTGTGGTTGACATTTTGAACACGAAGTATATAGAATCTGCTATCTGAATACTAACAACTGTAGTTAATGGTAAAATATCTACATGAACATGAACAAAACAAGCACTAACAAGAGAAACATTGTCAAAAAATGGCGTTTATGTTGCAATAAATACCTATCATTAGCTAGATTCCATGCTTCCTGCCTCAACTCAGTAGGGGTTTCAAGGGTAGCAAGGTAGTTTGATATGAACTTATGAGGATGCTCAACATGACAAACAAAACCCATCTCTTTCAATATGTGTCTTTCTGTTCTGCTCAATTCTGCTTTCAAGTCTGAAAATTTCTGCAAATAACAAACAGAAAGTAAGAAACAATGACTAGCAAGGCCTGGACAATCTGGTTTAAAATGGAGGTGCCAAAATTTGTTAATTGCAATGACACTTAAGATTAAGCCTAACCTGAATACCAACTAATAAAAAAGAGACAAGTAAATCATTGTTGTAAGAAACAAGTAAAAAAACAAAATCCATGAATAATAAATGGCATAATTTCAGTAATTTAGAACTTATCCAATCTCACCTTCGAATATAGGTCCAAATGCTCTAGGGGTAAGTTCTCTCTCCTACATTCCATTCTGTGGAAAACTATGATTACTTGCCTTGCCCTCCTAGGGCTTTCCTCTAGTTTTGTTGCAAGCCACAAAGCGCTAGCCGCAACTATCTACAATGAAATTGAAAATGTCAAATAAGGATATATTTTCGACCTGCTTCCACTTCAATCAGAAGGATTAAAAAAAAAAAACCATAGTTCCTAAATCTCAAAGAAATTAGGCAGCAAAACCAGGCAGACACACCCACCGACTACAACCGAATGCAACACAACTAATCTTTCCAAAAAACAAACAGCATAGACAAATAGTACAAAAACTTCTCTTCCTCCCATTTTGACAATTTATCAACAGCCAAAGAAAAGATTAAAAGAGGTTAACCTTGACATCAAAGCGGGCAAATGACTTCTTGCAATAAAAACGATGGAATAGAACCTGGCCGGTGGCCATGACAGCTTGAGGTCTGTAAGTATAAAATTAAGGAAACATAAATCAACCAGAAAATAATTATAAAAATGTGACACACACACACACACATATAACTACAATTATACAAAAAATTAAATAAGAAATACAATACAGTTTAAGTAAAATTCCGCTTTCTTGGATGAGATCACAGCCATAGATTCTTAGTGTAGTTTCAGTTGCTTCATCTATGCCATCTTTCCTTGAAGGTGAGTTCTTCAGCTGCTCATCTGTTAAGTAGAAGTTGTCAATCGCCGTATAGATCATTGTTTCCTTAACTACCTTCTATTAACTGTCACAAAGTGAAAAAAAAAAATCAAAACTTCCACATTCCATTATCAACATGTTAACATATTACAGAGAAATTAAAACTGAAGCTTAGAAACTAATCAATCATAAATTTGGTTAGAGCACCCTAAGAATCTGTTTGATGCTGAGAAATCTTAGGAAAAGATGGAAATTGAAACCCTAAGGAGCCATTTGGTGGCAAATTAATATGATCAGATATACTTACCACTACGCAATCAAACGCATCAAATTCAAAAAAGTGAGCTTATTTAAGCCAAAAATAGTCAAAGAAATTAACTGAAACATGAAACTGATTAAGTTAACAAAAAAAAAAGACATTGTTAATCAACTTAAACCAGAAACTATTTAAGCAGAAAAATGAAACTTCCCGAAAAGATTTAGCCCAGCACTAATTAAGCAGATAGTATCAATATTGAGTTAATTAATAAAAAAGGGAACAAAGTTCCATAGTAGCTTTAACACAAAACTAATTGAGAAACAGAACTAATTAACTAAACAATGAAGAGATTTCAATCTACCTACAATTTAAAACTAATTAAGCCAAAAAAAAAAAGAAGAGGAAGCAAAATTCAAACTAACCTAAACACTAAATTTAATTAATTACATATACGAAAGAAAACAATTAGCCTAACCCCTAATTGTCATCCTACTGCATGGAACAAATACTTAACCCTAAATTTTACCACAAAAACGGAAGATAAAAGAAATTGAAACTGGAAAAAACAGGTCGGGAACAAGGAACTCACCAGCTTTACGGTGAAACTCGGGGGGCGACCGGCGGTGCTGAGGTATCGGGAAATGGAGAAGAAAAGAGAGGGAGGAGCTGAATAACTGAAGAAAGTTTTAAAAAGTGCAGTAAGGAAAGGGAGGAGAACGAGACGGCGTCGTTTAAGCGGAAGGAGTCAAAAGGAAGAAAACCATTATTATTTTTTATATTGCAATTTTAAATTGCAGATAAAGTTCCCACATTGGGCTATACGGTTTTGGAGGGTCCGACGGTAGGCCCAAATAGAAAGGCCCTGTAATGGACCAGGCCCACTAGAATATTCCAAGATTTACTACATCTTCAATATTACTGAAATATTAGAAAGAACTTGGTCCGCAACAAAAATAGTAGGACAAAGTTTTTAATTTTAGGCGGCATTCCAAGTTCCTAATAATAGTATAAAAAAAATTATAAGATTTTCAAGTTAATTTCTGTGATTGTTCTTTGGATACAAAAATAACAAGATGTCAATATTTTGTATGTTAAACGTGTTTGAGTTGAAGTTTATACAACATAATTATCACGATTAACATTTATATGATTTATTATTTCTTTATATAATTAATATGATTAAATTAAAATATATAATTAAAATATTAATTTATTATTCAAATTTATTAATAAAATATTATAATACATATTAAATGTAATAAAATTATTAAAATAAAATATTCTATCACATTTAACTTTTAATCATAATTACAAACAATCCACTTATTTGCAAACTGAACACTCCATCCCAATAGCACAATCACAATCATACAACAATCATACAAGTACTCTGTGGAATACCCAGATTTAGTGCTTTTAGAGAAATTGGGTCAAATTTAGCGAGATAGTTTTTTTTAAATAAAAAATTAAAAAATATAATTTATATCATATAATAATTTTAAAAATTAATAAAATATAAAATTATTTTCTCAATATTATCAAGAGTAAACTATCAATTGTATTTATGTATCAAACAAAAAATATTGTTTTTGACTCTTTATTTTGAAAGGTAAAGAATCTACATAAAATTGTGAAAGTATTTTATCCAATAAAATAAAAATTAATTATAATCATTATAGAGTAAATTATTATTTATATGATCAATAATATTATTAAGTTAAGCAACATAATTAATACACATAATACAATTACCCTAAAGGATAATTAATAATGTGGTCATTCTTCTTTGGTTCGGTCTTTAGACTCTACATCCTTCTGGTTTCACCGTGATCAGCAATAAATCATAACCCAATTGCAAAGCCTACACAAACCCAAAAATGGAAATCCTGCTTTTTAAGCACAAGAGAGGTAAAAATGCATTAAAACCTAACAACAATTAGTATATAGTGTGTCAATTCAGACCATCAACTTTAGCAATCTAATTTTGGAGACTTGGAAATTCCCCCAGAACAATTTGCATCATGCCAAGAACAATAGATGCCAAGGAAGAGATCAACAAAACAGTTGCAAATAAACTTAAAGAGGCAAACAAGATAAAAACTGTGAAATAATAAATTAGTCTTAAGTCTCAACTCAAATAAAATTAAAAACACAAAATTATCAGTCTGGGATGGAATTACAAAACCTTAAAAAAAAACATATAAAAATAACAAAAGATCTCGCCACCGTCTATCAAGCACCCAGGTTTGCATCCGGATGCTCAACAAAACAGACTCAAAACTATGAGAATAAAATTGCGCAACCCAAGAGCAAAAACAGACAGAAGCAAGTTTCACTTGCCACCCTTCTTGGCAGCAGACTTGGTCACCTTGCTCCAGTTGGTCCTTCTTCTCCACATTTCTTGATGACACCAACAGCACAGTCTGTCTCATGTCCCTCAGCAAAACCCCAAGTGGGGGTACTCAGAGAAGGTTTCCACAACCATAGGCTTGGTGGGAACCATCTTAACCATACCAGCGTCACCATTCTTCAAGAACTTGGGCTCCTTCTCAAGCTCCTTACCAGAACGCCTGTCAATCTTGGTCAAGAGCTCAGCAAACTTACAGCAATGTGGGAGGTGTGGCAATCAGGACAGGAGCATAACCATTTCAAATCTGCCCTGGTGGTTCATGATGATGACTTGGGAGGTGAAGCTGGCTGCCTCCTAGCAGGATCATCCTTGGAGTTTGAGGCAACAAATCCACGCTTGAGATCCTTGACAGCAACGTTCTTACATTGAACCCAACATTGTCACCAGGAAGAGCCTCCTGAAGAGCTCGTGGGCATCTCAACAGACTTAACTTCAGTGGTCAATCAGAGGGACCGAATGTAACAACCATACCAGGCTTGAGGATACCGGTTTCAACACGACCCACTGGAACGGTTCCAATACCTCCAATCTTGTACACATCCTGAAGTGGGAGACGGAGGGGCTTGTCAGAGGGTCTCTTGGCTCGTTAATCTGGTCAAGAGCGTCAAGAAGAGTTGGACCCTTGTACCAGTCAAGGTTGGTGGACCTCTCAATCATGTTGTCACCCTCAAACGAAATGGGAACGAAGGGAATCTTGTCAGGGTTGTATCCGACCTTCTTCAAGTATGAAGAAACTTCCTTCACGATTTCATCATACCTTGCCTTTGAGTATTTGGGGTTGTGCATCCATCTGTCAACGAAATAGTATATATTAGTACAAATCATTACGTTATCACTAGACGAACCACTTAGAAACTACTTAACTTCAATTATGAAATGCAATAACTTACCTTGTTGCAGCAGCAAATCATTTGCTTCACACCAAGGGTGAAGGCAAGGAGAGCATGCTCACGGGTCTGTCCATCCTTGGAAATACCAGCTTCGAAACCTCCAGTGGTGAGTCAATGATAAGGACAGCACAGTCAGCCTGAGGGTACCAGTAATCATGTTCTTGATAAAGTCACGATGTCCAGGGCATCAATGACAGTGCAGTAGTACTTGGTGGTCTCGAATTTCCACAAGGCAATATCAATGGTAATACCCACGCTCAGCCTTCGCCAGCCTTAAGCTTGTCAAGCACCCAGGCAAATACTTGAATACCCTCTTTGGTTCATTTCTCAGCAGCTTCCTTCTCAAACCTCTCAATCACTCGCTTGTCAATACCTCCAAGCTTGTAGATCAGGTGACCAGTGGTGGTTGACTTTCCAGAGTCGACATGGCCAATGACCACAATGTTAATGTGAACCTTTTCCTTACCCATAGCGACTTTTTAGCAGATAAAACTGCAAAGTAAATACAAAATAAATGATGATCAGCAAGTGAAATCTATACATACAACAAGCATAAAACAGATCTAACAAGCATATTCAAATATCCAACAACTGATGGCCTGCTTATCAAGTTCAATAATTCAAATCTCCCACTTAATAAAAATCGTTAAAACTAAATCACCAAACTACAATTCAAGATGGGTTTCATCAATCCATATTCTCAACAACCTAGAACAATTTTTTTTTTCATATACTGCAATCTATCAACACAACAAAATTAACCTTTTGTTTCAACTAAATTCACATTATAGACCATTTTTTATCAACTATACAAGAACAGATCTAAACCCAAGAAATTTATAAAAAAAAAAAACCTGAAAAATATAATCATATGTAATTGATTAAACAACTCCTTAAAAATAAAACTACAACAGAATAAAGAATTACATACTGAGAATACATGAAAGGCAAATTTAAGTAACAGCTAGATCTGAACACGAAAATATCATATCATAATAATCATAAACCACATTAAACAGAGATCTAAGCATCGATTTAGAAGAAATTAACAAGATAGGAACATGATCAAGAGTTCAAAAAAATTCGAACCTTGAATTTCCCAAGCTTTATCAATCGGCAGGCGAGACAGAGTAGAGTAATGGGAGAAAGCACTGAGGAAGTGTATTATATATAAAACCCTAGTGGAGATTAGGGTTTTTCGTTCTGCCGTTAGATTAGATTCTTCCAAATTTCAATCTACGGTTACAATATCTCTACGTGGAGTCCAACAAGACCAGATTGCTAAATTACCATGTTACCCATTACGTTTGCCAGAATGTCTTCAAACTCTACCGTTCACTGCGCAAAACCCTAGTGATGTTGGACCGTCGGATTTTAATCCAACGGTTGTGAAGAAGAGAAGTCCGTTGACTCTGCTGTTTGTAGCTGTGGGCGCCTGGCGGCTTGCTAGCGACGATAACTGCCCACTTATTTCTCAAAATTACAAAAAGCTCCCCTAGATGTTTCAAATTTAAACATCGCCCCCTTTTATCTTTCCATTTTACTCAAAGGCCCCAAAACAACGAAACAAATAGAAAAAAAAAACCTCCAAAAAAATAGAAGAAGCCGCCATTGTTGCAGGTTCGAAAACCTCCCTCTTTCATTATTATACTGACTTAAATCGATCATATTGTAAATAATTACTAATTTTCATGATTTCCTTGGTTCTTTCTTAGGATTTTTGCGAAGTAGTTAGAAAAATGGGGAAATTAGGAAAAAAGGCGCGGAAATTTGCGAAGAAGAATCTTCAATCTGTGTTGAAAAGAAAGCGGAAGTTGAAATCTATGTTCAAAAAGAAAGGTTCTAAAAGTAAGGATTTTTGAGGGATTTTTTTTAGTTTAATTTGTGGTTGTTCACTTGTTCTTGAAAGTGTAAAAGTAATTAAATTTTGTTAATGGCAACTCACTGTGTTGAAAATTTTTCTAGTAGATGAGCAGGATGAAGCTGAAAACCTCGAAGAAGAGAAAATAAGCAAGTCTAATGGAAGGTAAAAGGATTTTTGAAAACAATGTAATGATATTGCATTTCCTATTTAAAAATAAGGCCTTGTTTGGTTGTTACTTTTGCTACTTGGCTGTTCTTTTAGCTTCTGAAAGTACATTTGGATATGAAAGCAAACATAATTTTTCTGAATAATTGAAATTTTAACTTTTGTGAACAACAGAATAATTATTTAATTTTTAATTTTTATATAGAACCCTTATGTTTCCATATATGTTATAATTTTGTTTCTTTCTTCATTTTGTTTCGAATAGTGTTTCAGTGTCAATATGCAATGTTGATCCTTTTCTGAACATTTAAAATATGTTTTCAGAGACTTGGTAGGTGAAAATATAGAGGATGCTGCACTTGATGCAGTGTTTAGTGATGAGAGCGATGTGGTTGAAGA